CACCAGATTTTGGGCATTTGAGGTTTTAAAAGTTGTAATATATAGACGCTGATCCCATATATTTCATTGTTATCTTCCGCTTAATTATTTAAAGTTCCGATGTTTTCATGTTATTGCTTGTATTTGTTAAAAAGAAGTAATTTGGTAATGAATTAGGTAGTTAAGGGTTGGCTTGCCTAGCTCTCATTAGTAGGCGCCATTACGAATCCCGAGGGTGAAAAATTCGGGTCGTAACAAGGAGACTCTAGCGTAACTACAGAAAGAGAGAATTGTGGATTATGTTTTTCACATATATTTTTATTTATCACACTCTGATTTTTTTACTTCGTGCATATAAGTCGAAATTAGGAGTGACAAACGGGCGGGTCGGGTCGGATATGGTTTGGGTAAAAAAATGGTAATAAAAAATGGATAAATTATTTGACCCGACCCATATTTAATATGGATAAAAAACGGGTTAACCGACGGATAATATGGGTAACCATATTATCGCATATGATCACTTTTGGGAGAATTCTTAGTCTCCCTAACTTGAGGAACCTCTAATTTGAGGCTTTATAAATGAAAAAGTTAGACCCATTGGTTATCCATTTTCTAAATGGCAATATGGTTCTTATCCATATTTGACCCGTTTTTAAAAAGTTCATTATCCAACCCATTTTTTAGTGGATAATATGAGTGGTTAACTGTTTTCTTTTAACTATTTTGCCATCCCTAGCTGAAATTATGGTATTTGGCATATTTAAGATAAATAATTGTAGAAATTAAGCCATGAATGGTAATCCTAAATTGTTCATGTTGGAAATGTTATTGGGTCGGGTTCGCCCATAATAGGGAGAAATTTAAAAATAGCCAGATTTACAAGCGGTATTCAAAAATAGTCATAGTTTCAAAAGTAATCGAAATTTAGCCACTTTTCATGTAAAGATAAATCTGAACGAAAGCACTGTTCAAAATCTGAAAAATACTCCAGTATAATATAATGAAGTTCCAGCATAAGCATACTGGAGTTTCAGTATAATATACCGGTCCAGCATAATATGCTGGAAGTTCATACACAAGTGCTCCAATCTTCAGTATATTATACGGGAAGTTTCTGCGTGTTGGAGTTCCAGCATAATATGCTGGAAGTTCATACACAGGTGCACCGATCTCCAGTATATTATGCTGGAACTTTCTGTGTTGCAGCAAAATAGTAGCTATTTTTTAATAACTTTGCAAACGCTGGCTATTTTTGAAGGACCAGTCCGAAAACTGGCTAGCCCGTGCTATTTTTACCCCCATAATAGGTGCAAGATGGCCCACAAGCCCATTGATTATTCTTCTACGTAAAACCTTAAAGCTAGCATATATAAACACTATTATGTGTGTTTAAGAATGGCTTTTACATCAATAACAAAATGGCTAGGGTTTTTGAGTTGCGAGGATTTATTGGATTTTGCTGCAAGTCATCCAAACTCCTTTCAAGAAGAATTACCTCAATTAGCCGCTCACATAATTTGCAAAACAAAAAATAGCCAACAAATATATAATATATGCATAATTTATGTATACCTGTGTATAATCAATATATAATCTATGTATACCGCCTAAAAAAGTAAAGATTAGATTTGGCCGGCTATTTGGGTAATATGTAATCCCGTACGAGGCCAAAGTTATTAATTTTGACCATAAAATTAAACATATATTTTTCAAGTATTTTAAAATAAAATTTACGTTTTTGGAAACTACATGTAAAATACTATAAGTCATAATAATTTATATTTTAAAAACTTATAAAACATTTAAGAAACTTGTGGTCAAAGATTAACCTCGTACATTCCCCAAATAGTAATGTAGACACATAAATTAAACTATCGGGAGTAGTATTTTACGGTTATATAAGACAGTCTAATATTTGGTTGTTACTATAGTTTCTTTAATTTATTCCTAAATAAATTTTATAGTTTTACAACTAATAGTAATCCTAAATTATGTAGGAGATAGTTTTCATTAGTTTCTTAATTCACGTGTAAAATAGTTTTCCTAGTCAAAATCAAATAAGTTTTCCTATTTCCTATCAAAATAGGTTTCCTACCATTATAAATAGAAGTATTACTACCTATTTTTTTACAACGAAAAGAAAATCATGGAATCATACCAACAGATGTTAATTTCTTCTTTCCTTGAAATTGCCATAGATCAAACCGCCGATACTGCTCGCCAATTTCTTCAGACAACAAAATGGAATCTTGAGGAAGCAATTCAACTTTTCTACAATAATGAACTTGTTGATAATCCTAGCTTGAATGGAGACGATGACGATGACGATGATGACGACGACGATGATGATGATGTACGGCCGCCTTTACATGTAGAAAGAGAAGTTATTTATGGTCATAATAATACAGTACAATATAATGGTAACAGTTCGTCACACAACTTTGATGATGAAATATTGAGTCGTCTTGGAGATGTTTGGAGGGTAGAGGAACGAGACGATAATCTTGCTTCTATGTATCGTCCACCCTTTGCTTTGATATACAACGGGCCTTTTAACAACGCGATTGATACAGCAAAAACACAGAACAAATGGCTGTTAGTGAACATGCAATCCATGCAAGAATTCACGTCACACTTGCTAAACAAAGATACTTGGGCTAACGATTATATTGCTCGGATTATAAAAAAGAATTTTATTTTCTGGCAAGTAAATGATCACACTGAGGAAGGCCAAAAAGTTTGCACGTACTATAAATTAAATTCTTTGCCTGTTATATTAGTAATTGATCCTATAACAGGTCAAAAAGTGCATTCTTGGAATGGAATGGTTCAGCCTGAAATTCTATTAAAGGATATTACATCTTTTATTGATCTTAGCCCCTCAGAATATCATGCTAATTTATTGCATAAACGATCTAGGAAAAATCCTCGCGATGAAATTAAAGAAGATGAAGGCGTACAACAGACTAATGAAATCAAAGAAGTAATGAAGATTTGCTATCCAACTCTACCTGAAGAACCAGAAGGTGATAGGAATTTAATTTGCAGAGTTGCGATTCGCCTTCCTGATGGACGTAGAATACAGAGGAATTTTTTAAAAATTGATTCAATTAAGTTGTTATGGTCTTATTGTTGTGTTGAGTTTGAGGAAGCAGAGACAAGGCCATTTCGATTCAGACAAGTTATTCCAGGGGCAGTGAAGTTTTTAGAGTATGATAGTAACTTAAATTTTGAGGAGTCAGATCTTAATAATTCTATTGTTTCTGTAACTTGGGAATGAATTTCCATTGATTTTCATAATGATGTAACTTAGCTTGAGTTTTATTGATTGTTACAAATTTTTCTGGGTTGATTGAATTGTTTAGCTTCCTTACAATATCTTTTTTTTTTAAGAATATTTCGGGGCTTATTTATTGAAAAAGAGATTTTTTTCCCCACAACTATGAACTAACTTCCTACTCAAAAATGAAATTTGAATTTATTTGTAAATTCTAGCACCTTTTCGGCCTCTCTATAGTTCCGCTCAAAAGCAACCCCATCTTTTTCTTTATTCTTTTAGCGACTTAAGTGTTTTTTGGGTAAAAGTTTAACAAGATTTTATTAAGAACAAGAGGTTATTCAGCTCGTAATGTGCCCAAGGTGCTCTTTTTGAGCGAAATTTGGGAGGCTACTGGTTTTGGCTAGTATCCATGTAGCCTACATCGTAGCCTACATGGGGCCATCCCGTGCTTCACGTGTCCATATTGAAACGAGTGGTAACTAAGGGACGAGTTACTCATCGTCCCCATAGAGAATACTGAAATTAATGAAGGCTTGGCTTATGAAGAAGCTCTTGTTGCCATAGTCGAGTTATAGGTGTGGAAAGGTGTTAGAGAAAGCTCTACATTATTCCTAATCCAAAAGTTGTTGAGTTTCTTTTTAGTATAGAAAGATATTAAAAAGAGTGTGAATGGAAAATGGAGGGAAATAAAAATTTTGGGTAAAATTTTAAGTTTCACTCTCCTTTTAATGAGACATTGTCCCTCATTGGTAGAAGAAAAGGAGTTTGGTGGGTTTATATACAAATGCACTTCATTTAGCTCTTAAAGAGTTAGGAAGAAGGCAAGCCTCGCGCCGTCGTCGTCGCTCGCTCGACATCGGCTTCGGTTAATTGATTGATTAATTTTTTGGACCAAATTTATTTGTTAATAGTAGATATTAACGTAATATTATCCGCATTTGTAATGGGTATGTTCCAATCCGTGTATTGTACCACCAATTGCAATAGCAGTCACCTAGTGCTCCTCCCACCATGGGGGCGAGTCTCACAACTGACTGCTATAAATATGAGCAGCAGCAGTTGGAGAATAACACACCAAAAAAAAAACAGAATTGAGAGCTATTGATCCTCTCTTCACCGAAAACTCAACGTTGGCTATAATTTGCATTCCTTCCTCTCAGAATTTCCATTCGACTTCTGAGTTCTCCTCCCTTGTTCTGCATTATTTTAAACTACAAACAAAGCATCCGTAAGTGTGATTTGCTGCCGAACTTTGTGTTCACTGAAACACTGGGGTTTGAAGTACCGCTACACCAGTGTGTAATTCGTTCTATCTTGGGAGGAAATAATCCATAACCTTGGGTACTAGGAGGGGATTAAATTCCTTACGGAAATACTGTGAATTCAGTGGGCTCGAATTAATTTCTATTTTATTTATATTTACGTTTATAAGCTAACGTTCTAATTTTCAGAATCATTATTTACAAAATACAGGCAAAGTAACAAGCTTAAGGAATTTAATAATTTTAATTTCTGTATTTGTGTTACTTTTATTATTCTGGAAGCTAAAACCTTTGTGGTTTTTGTGTACTCCCGTTTGGAGAGTAAAACCTTCGTGGTGGTTTGTTGGAGATTAAAATCTACGTGATTTTTACTCCAGTTTTAAAGCCTTCGTGGCGTTTTGTTGGAGATTAAAATCTACGTGATTTTTTACTCCAGTTTTAAACGTTTGTTTGTATCATTTTTTTTTCCAAAAAAAATGGCGAATGACAACGGAAATCAAGTTGTTCCGATGGTGACTGCCAATGCATCGACAAGCCGAACACCGGCTTTAGCACCAGCAGAAAAACCCGAAAATTTTTTCGGGATTGATTTCAAGCGCTGGCAGCAGAAGATGTTCTTCTACCTGACTACGTTATGTCTACAGAAGCTTATCAAGGAAGATATTCCTGATCTGCCAGATGAAACTCCAAAGAATGAAAGCTTTCTCGTGATTGAGGCGTGGAAGCATTCTGATTTTTTGTGCAAGAATTATATTCTTAGCGGACTGGATGATAATCTGTATAATGTATACAGTGGCGTGGAGACATCAAAAGAATTGTGGAATGCTCTTGAAAAGAAATACAAAATTGAAGATGCTGGGATGAAGAAATTCGTCGTTGCAAAATTTTTGGACTACAAAATGGTAGATAGCAAGTCTGTTATTACCCAAGTCCAGGAATTGCAAGTAATTATTCATGATCTACTTGCTGAAGGTATATTTCAAAAGAATACTGATGTTGAAAGTAAAATTTTTAGTAATTTTACTAATGGAATTTTCATTGAAGGTCTTGTCATCAATGAAGCATTCCAAGTAGCAACAATAATTGAGAAGTTGCCTCCATTGTGGAAGGACTTCAAAATTTATTTGAAACACAAACAAAAGGAGATGTCCCTTGAAGATCTCATTGTTCGATTGAGAATCGAAGAGGACAATAAAGCTGCTGAAAAGAGAGGCCATGGAAATTCAACAATAATGGGAGCAAATATTGTTGAAGATAACAAAAAGATAAAGAAGGCTTCTGGTCCGAAATACAACCCAAGCAAGAAGCGGTTCAGTGGAAACTGCTACAACTGTGGAAAAACCGGACACAAATCTACGAAGTGTCGTGCTCGGAAGAAAGACAAGAAAAAGGGTCAAACAAATATGGTAGAAAAGCATGATGATGTTGATGACTTGTGTGCCATGCTTTCTGAATGCAACATGGTAGGAAATCCTAAGGAGTGGTGGATTGATTCTGGAGCCACTCGCCATGTTTGTGCTATGAGGGAAGCATTTTAAACCTATGATTTTGCTGGACCCGAAGAGACGCTTTCTATGGGAAATGTTTCTACAACAAAAATTAAAAGATATTTCTCAAGATGACTTCTGGCAAGGTCATGACTTTGAACAACGTCCTTCATATTTCCGAAATTAGGAAGAATTTAGTCTCTACTGGACTTCTTGTAAAGCACGGTTTCAAGTGCGTTTTTGTATCCGACAAGGTTGTAATAAGTAAGAATGAAATGTTTGTAGGAAAAGGGTACCTCACCGAGGGCCTTTTCAAGCTCCATGTAATAGTTGTTGACAATAATAATAAGAATTCAGCTTCTTCTTACTTACTTGAGTCAAATAATTTATGGCATGTACGTTTAGGTCATGTCAATTATAAAACCTTACGGAAAATGATTAACTTGGAAATATTGCCTAAATTTGAATGCGAAAAATCAAAATATCAAATATGTGTGGAATCTAAGTATGTTAAACATCCTTATAAGTCAGTTGAAAGGAATTCAAATCCTTTAAACTTAATTCACACAGATATTTGTGATATGAAGTCAATACCATCTCGCGGTGGAAAGAAGTATTTCATAACTTTTATTGACGATGATACTCGATATTGTTATGTTTACTTACTTAATAGTAAAGATGAAGCAATAGACGCATTTAAGCAATACAAAAATGAAGTTGAAACGCAACTTAACAAGAAAATAAAAATGATAAGAAGTGATAGGGGTGGTGAATATGAATCTCCTTTTGAACAAATATGTTTAGAATATGAAATTATTCATCAAACAACAGCCCCTTACACGCCCCAATCCAATGGGATTGCGGAAAGAAAGAATCGTTCATTAAAGGAGATAATGAACGCATTATCGATAAGTTTTGGTTTGCCACCGAACTTGTGGGGGGAAGCCNGGGATATTTAGAACATACCCAAAACTTTGATTTGCACTACAGTAAATATCCTGCGGTGATTGAAGGATATTGTGATTCAAATTGGATCACCGGTTCAACTGATTCGAGTCCACAAGTTGATATGTATTCACTATTAGTAGAGGAGTGGTATCTTGGAAGTCGTCCAAACAAATNAAAACACAATCCATTCCATATGAAAAATGGAAAGGAAGGAAGCCCAACTTGAATTATTTGAAAGTATGGGGGTGTTTGACAAAAGTGCAAGTTCCTAAACCCAAAAGGGTAAAAATANTGGCACCAATATGCATACATTGTGATAGCCAAGCAGCAATTGGAAGGGCTGGGAGTGTTATGTATAACGGTAAATCTCGTCATATACGACGAAGGCATAAAACCGTTAGGCAACTACTCTCTAGAGAAATTATCACGATTGACTATGTAAGGTCAAGTGATAATGTGTCGGATCCACTTACAAAAGGCCTAACTAGAGAGGTAGTTGAGAAATCATCGAGGGAAATGGGACTATGGCCGAGAACAAGTCATTGAGGCGGTAACTCTACCTAGAAGACTTGAGATCCCAAGATCTAGGTTCAAGGAGATCAAACAAAGTCATTAATGACGGTTCAACATTGTCAACAAAAATTTTGGTCCATTCTCGTGATGAGACAATGTTCAGTACCAAGGATAAAGCATTAAGGCTTTTTAATGATTTCTAAATTTGATACAGGGTATATCAAATAGTGTATCTACGGGATGACAAGTTTAGGAATCACCTATGTAAGTGTGAAGTGTTAGCCGCTTCAAGGAGAATTTTGCAAGGCCAATTCTCTACGCACTTATGAAACCAGGCAGTGTTCATGAATGAAACGAACACAACAATGAGAACCAAAGACGGTTAATGGATTGATTGTGTGACTTATGGTTGTCTAGGTATACACTAAATTTCGACGATTCAAAGATATCAAATCTACCGATTGACTGAGTATATCCAACATAAGTTCACTACGGAAAGTTCAAAGGGAAACCTACTTATCCAGATGCAATTAATCCTTGCTTGCAAATCACACAAGTTTTTCATGCATACTTCCGTGATATAGTCATTCCCCATTCATGTGGGGGATTGTTGAGTTTCTTTTTAATATAGAAAGGTATTAAAAAGAGGGTGAATGAGAAATGGAGGGAAATAAAAATTTTGAGTAAAATTTTAAATTTCCTTCTCCTTTTAATGAGACATTGTCCCTCATTGGTAGAAGAAAAAGAGTTTGGTGGGTTTATATACAAATGCACTTCATGTAGCTCTTAAAGAGTTAGGAAGAAGGCAAGCCTCGCGCCGTCGTCGTCGCTCGCTCAGCTCGGCTTCAGCTACGGCTTCGGATTCGGTGATCGATTGATTGATTAATTTTTTGGACCAAATTTATTTGTTAATAGTAGATATTAACGTAATATTATCCGTGTTTGTAACGGATATGTTCCAATCCGTGTATTGTACCACCAGTTGCAATAGCAACCGCCTAGTGCTCCTCCCACCATGGTCAAGTGCTTGCTCCATAACAAGCTCGTGCATGCTCCACCATGGCTTGCTCCATAACAAGCTAGTGCATGCTCCACCATGGAGAGGGGGCGAGTCTCACAACTGACTGCCATAAATATGAGCAGCAGCAGTTGGAGAATAACACACCAAAAAAAAAAATTAGAATTGAGAGCTATTAATCTTCTCTTCACCGAAAACTCAACGTTGGCTATAATTTGCATTCCTTCCTCTCAGAATTTCCATTCGACTTCTGAGTTCTCCTCCCTTGTTCTGCATTGTTTTAAACTACAAACAAAACATTCGTAAGTGTGATTTGCTGCCGAACTTTGTGTTCACTGAAACACTGGGGTTTGAAGTACCGCTACACCAATTGTAATTCGTTCTATCCTGGGAGGAAATAATCCATAACCTTGGGTACTAGGAGGGGATTAAATTCTTTAAAGAAATACTGTGAATTCAGTGGGCTCGAATTAATTTCTGTTTTATTTATATTTACGTTTATAAGCTAACGTTCTAATTTCCAGAATCATTATTTACAAAATACAGGCAAAGTAACAAAAGTGTCATGCTAAAAAGATACTATTCCTTTCATTCAATTTATGTGAAGGCCTTTAACTGAATACGGAATTTAAGAAAGACTTTTAAAACTTATAGTCTAGAATAAGAAATAGATATTTATATGCTTATAATTAATTATCTCATTAACATACACGAAGATGACATTCTTCTTTACACATACTAAAAAGGAAGAGTGCGACGTAAAATGAAATAGAATATTAATAGTAAAATTTAATGATAGTTTGTCATGTACAAAATTAGCAATGTCAAAATCAGCGCTCATGTAATTATCATTTTCTTTAGTTGGTAAATTAATTCAATCATCTAAATAGTGTGTACTACCACATTAGGTAAGGGACATAAACCATAAAGCTAAAATGTATATTTCTTAATCATAATGTAGTCCCAGATTATTATATTTTCAGATTTTGAATTATGAAGTCTTTATATTGAAGAAAACCAATCACCCATTTGGCACATCTTCATTGGGTGCAAATATATACTTAATTGAGAGGAATACTTTAATTTATTTATTTTAAACAAGGGTAGATCTTATAGATAAACTACATTAATCTAAACCCGTAGCTTAAAATATTCAATAAGTAAGTACAAAATACAAATAGTAGTAATAAATTTCAAACCCTATAAATTTGGCGAGATGTGGTAAAATTACAACTCTATAAAATTCAAATTATGAATCCCCATTTTAAATATTTAACAATTTTTTCTACATAATGGGGTAATAAAATGGGAATCCTATGATCTAAAAATGGTTAATTTTTCTTTTTGTGTACTTATTTACTTATAAATAATGGTAATTAAAATATTCCCTGGTTATGTATCTTCTGTTTCTGTCCGAACTCCAAACCAAAACTCAATTGTTTAACATTTCTTCATCATGTGCTTCTGCAATTTACTACACACTCCACACAGTCCACCTTTGTCGGCTCTTTCAACTTGTATTTAATACTGTATTATCCTCTATCTGTTTCACTTATTGACACTAAAGTTCAATACCCTTTTGAAATCTTGAGCAAAAGATCACATCTTTATGGATTTTCATTAAAGATCTTCGCCCCATAGTGAAAATAGAAGAGCTCAGTGTGAATGCTGAAGAAAATGTTGTTTTCTTGGAAATCATGGTGGAGGTCATTATACAAGCAAAATCACTTTGTTTTAAAGTTGGGATTTTCGATTTTGTTATTGGGTCTTGCTTTTAGGCTTTTATTTTCAAGATCTGATGTGATTTCTGAAGTTCAAGAAACTCCTTTTGTTCNGTGTGTGTGTGTGTGCGCGTGTATGATAATAGAATGTCATAAGGAAGGTAACTCCTTAATGATCATAAGGAAGAAGACTTGAATAATTGAGAATATGAAATTTAAGTACTTTTGGATCTATTATAGCTATAATTTTTAAAAGTTGAGTTTAAGTTTTATGCACGGATGGTTAAAATATTTGCACCATCATGTTGTTTAAATAATAATTGTAGGTAACTCAATGTAATAACATTATCCTAGAATATATAGTAAGTAACATGGTGTAAAACATTCATTACGCTGTCAGTGTATATAACTTAAATATGCGTTTGTATTAATTACACTGTAGTGGGTGCAGTGTTAATCCACATTCTCTGAGCTATGATCAATAATTTGTATGTTTGTGGCTGTAGTAAGTCAAAATGTGCAAAGCATAAATGCTTTGTTATACCCTTTGCTTTTCATTTAGTGTGGAACTCTGTATAGTTTGTGGGGGAGGGACTTGTTTTAATTGGAATTGTTACCTAAGGGTTGAAGTTGAACTTGACAAAATAAGTGGATCATTTTGTTTGATTTAGTTATCTTGCTTTACGTCATAGTAAGTTATAGATCTGTTGGCTGATTCTTTAGCTGCTATTCTTTTATAGTATGTGTCTTGTTTTGGAATATCAAGTTTGTTGTATCTGTTGTCACATGGTGTGATTTGTTTCCTTGGATGTGCTATAGAGCAAGCAGGGAAGTGTAATCTTTTCAATGGAGATTGGATTCCTGATCCATCTGGTCCTGTTTACACGAACGAGACATGCAAATTTATTGAAAGCCATCAGAATTGTATGACGAATGGCCGGCCTGATACTGGTTATCTTTACTGGAGGTGGAATCCACGTAGTTGCCAGTTGCCTCGGTTTGATTCACATAAGTTTCTTCAGTTAATGAGTAATAAAACATGGGCATTGATCGGTGATTCAATTTCAAGGAACCATGTCCAATCATTTCTTTGTGTACTCTCAAAGGTAACTAGTCATAGTCGTTGTCAATTGTTCTATGTTGCTTCTGTAAGTTTTGGTTGTTCTTTTGCCATGTTTCCACCATAATTTAGCATTGTTGATCAAGTAACAATTGATCTTTTTCTTCTTCCCATTGCTTGGAAAATCTTTTTTCATGAAGGCACAGTACATTTTGCTCACTTGCCTTGAATAAGCGCTTAACTTTTGCGTAGGACATTTTTGTTATCTATGATGTTCCACTCCATTCCCATGTTTGGTATCCTCAATTATGTTCGGTCCGTGCCACCAAAAATGTACCCTTCCCCTTTTGTTGTTGAGGAATGGGTTAGAGAAAATTTGCCTGAAGTAAAAATTGGATTGATACAACTTTCTGTACTAATATAAAATGCATTGGAACTTTCTACTTTAAAAACAGTGGACAACATTTGGGCAGCCCAATGAGAAAGCCAGTCAACTTGGAATGGAGGTAGTATTCAGTTTGGATCTCATTAAATTTAGGTGCGCAAACATTAAAGTGCAAGTGTTTAACTTTGTATTGCATGGAAGCTGTTACTGGGAGATAGCTTGAATGTTTTTAATCACCATTATAATGTCGGCAGAGTATTTCCCTGTGTATGAACAGGGCATCGTACTTCTTAAAGAGATTTTTGCTGGTTTCTTTCAATTTAATTTTTTTTGTTAAAGCCTTAAAATTTCTCCCCGATCTTCATGTTTGTCGTTGCTTCCCACCATTTTTAATCTCTATCCGGAAATGCTTGTAACGGTTAATTATTGAGCTATCAAGTTCGGTTAGCTATACTTGGGGTACCAAAAGCCAACCAGTTGCATGGTAGCAGGTTTCAGCATACACTTCGGTTATGAAGACCTTGTATTAGAGTAGTTGAAGCAAGGAGCGTCCTGTGTAAAGTTTTAGAGGTTAGATCTGTCAGAAGAATCGGACTGCTTATAAGACGTTTTAATAAATTTAGAAGTCCATTTGTCTCAGAAACTACAGTGTTATATAACTAAGCTAGGTATCTATTACAGTAACATTTTTTATCTTGGATGCGGCTTTTGGCCGTAATGGATGTTTCACTAATGCTGGCCATCCGGTAGCCCGATTAATTGCTTGCAATTTTGCTAATTGTTGAGTGATTATGAGGTGCTATTCATCTGTCTTTTTTAATTTCTTGTATAATCCGCACAAGGATGCGATGCTACTATTTGAAGGTTCTACTTTCGTGAACTTGTCACTCTTCTAACTATAGGTTTGTGCTTTTTTTTTTTGTTCTTTTATTCTTTTTAATCTTATTGGACGATGCTATTTCAGGTAGAGGAAGCCATTGAAGTATACCATGACAAGGAGTACCGGTCCAGGAGATGGTTATTCCCCTCATACAACTTTACCGTTTCAGTTATTTGGTCCCCCTTTCTGGCACAAGCAGCTATATTTGAAGACTACAACGGAGTTTCCACATCTGAGATTGAACTTCATCTCGACAAGCTTGATGCGAGTTGGACTGATCAGTTTAACAATTTTGATTATATGATATTTGCAAGCGGTGAGTGGTATGTCAAAACTGCAATCTACTATGAAAACGATACAGTAGTGGGCTGCCACTACTGTCCCAAAAGGAACTTGACCGAGCTTGGTTTCGACTTTGCGTACCGTAAAGTTCTTGGAAATTTTTTCAACTATCTTCTCTCATCAAATCACAAAGGCATGATGTTTTTTAGGACCGCGACACCAGACCATTTCGAGAATGGTGAGTGGTTTAGTGGTGGACATTGTAAAAGAACCAAACCGGTGAAGGAAGGTAAGTTCAATTTGACCGAGATTAACAAGATTCTACATGAAATCGAAATAGAGGAAATTGGAAAAGCTACAGCTAAAGCTTCTGAGACGGGTTTGAATCTAAAGCTTTTCGATGTAACTGCCCTTTCATTAATGAGGCCCGATGGGCATCCAGGTCCGTACAGGTATTTTCAACCGTTTGCAAAAGATAAGAATGCGAAAATCATCAATGACTGCTTGCATTGGTGTTTGCCTGGACCTATAGATGCTTGGAATGATATGCTAATGGAGATGGTGTTAAATGGTTAATTTCATAAACTTGTGAAGTGGAAGTTGTTTCTTGAGCAAATAGGCAGACCAGTTCATTGAGATGGCATTTACTGAGAACAGACATTGCTCGCTTGTGTATCCTACTCTGTGATGTGAATACTAGAGATTTAAGCCACACGATGGGTGCTGCTCGCGACCATGTTCCTCGGGTTAAGCTTCAGTTTGCTTATATATAATTTTTTTCATTGGGGAAGTTCATCTTAATTATAATGTTGTTCATTGATTCTCATATATATGATTTTTCAGGAATCTGTAGTGGGATTTATTTTTGAGGGGATTTGGAATATATATAGAGATCTGAATCAAATGAGAATTTGATGATGGTGAGTCACAGATTGTGTTGTACACTTATAAAATTAGCAAGTCACATGCTAAGATAGATTGGTGCAGTTTTCCACTAATTACTTATTTGATATTACAAACTTTTGAATGATTCTTTGTAGTTTAACCATCTCTTAGAATTTGATCTTAAATTCTGTAACTGTAAAGTGCTGTTTAGGTTGGTCCTGGAAATGTGAGAGCAATATATGCTCTCTGTTAGCCTCGGTTAAGAAAGAAGGCCTTAAGAATGCAAATTCTAGCCGATGTGCTTAAACCTTAGTGGACAGAGTTATACTTGGTGAAACAGTCGAGGTACACGTAAGCTGGTCAGAACACTTTAAACAAAAGAATTTTAAAAAGGGGTATTATCACTTTTAGCCCGTGCCAGAAACTATTTATATCTGGTAGCCGAAAAAGTATATAAAATTTGTATTATTTTTGGATATAACATACAAAATGTATATATATACAAAAGTTATACAAATTTTATACATTTTTTCGGCTATTATTTTTACAACGGCTATACATTATCTTTTTTCCATTAAAAACAACATTTGCTGAATGACTTATATTAGGTTCCAAAATATTGTTATTATTGGAGTTCAATCAAAATCCCGTTCTTCTGAGTTACTATCCCTCGCTTTTTTATGGGTCCACCTCTACTTAGAATAAAATAAAACAAGAAAAAAAGGAAAATTAGCCTATTTTGGTTTTTCCTTTGCCCAATTAACCCGATTAGCCGTCCACTCAATCGCTTAAACAAAAAATAGGTAGCGAGGGTGAATAATTAATGTATATGACTAGAAAAAACAAATAATAAATTTGGATGTTTACTTGTGTAAAGATGCCTTTTCCTTTTCGGGTTTAAGTATAAAAATAGCATGGGTTAGCTAATTTTCAGACTGGTAATTGAGAAATAGCTAACGTTTGTAAAGTCATTGAAAAATAATCATTATTTTGCTGCAATACGGAAAGTTCCAGCATAATATACTAGCGATTGGAGCACATGTGTATGAACTTCCAGCATATTATGCTGAACTAATATATTATGCTGGAACTCCAGTATATTATGTTGGAAGTTCACATGTAAAAGAATTCGTACTCCGGTATATTATGCTGGAATATTTTCCAAATTTTGAACAGTATTCGTTCAAATTTATCTTTACATAAAAAGTGACTAAATTTCGATTACTTTTGAAATTGTGGCTATTTTTCAATTACCACTTGTAAATCTGGCTATTTTTGAATTTTACCCGGTTTAGTGGTCTATTGAATGGGCTTTAAGAATTTTCCAATTTAAGAGTGTTTAAAAGGATATTGTCAATCCAATTCCAATTCTGCTAACGGTAAAGATTTTCAAATTTTATAACCTTGGAACTCAAAGCACTTTTTGAAACAAAGTGGACTTTGAATTTGAAAAAACTAACCGTTGGCTCTCCACTTTCCTATATAAAACCCAATTTTCTCCACCCTGTNAAAATTCTAGCCATGGCTACCACTGCTGAGATGACCCTTGTCACGGACCCTGTGCCCGCAAAGAAGGGGAGGTCGAGGAAGGCGCTGAAGCAGAAAAATCCATCATCGAACGAAGCCAATATATTGGCTGCTATTGTAACTCAGTCGCCTTCACTGGCGTTGCCAGTGGACGACTCAGTTAAGGAGAACCTTGAAACCCTCACACAACCACGATCCGAAAAGAAAACAAACAAGAGAGGAGCCTCAAAGGCTAAGAAACAAACAGAAACTGAAAATTCATTTGAGAAAGAGTTGCTAGAAATGCAAGAAAAGCTTCAAAAGATGACACTTGAGAAGGAGCAGACTGAGGAAATTTTGAAAGCCAGAGAGGATATGTTGAAGCAGAAGGAGGAAGAGCTCGAAGCTCGGGATAAAGAGCAAGAGAAGCTTCAAATTGAACTCAAAAAGTTGCAGAAAATGAAAGAGTTCAAACCAACCCTGGTATGTTTCTTAAATCTCGTTTCTATTAGTCTTTTCTTTGCAGCATTCCTTGTAGAAAAGTTGACATTTTTATTTTTGGGGATTGAGGCGCAGTTTATTTTATATTTCATAAAAATTCTTGTCTGTAAGTAGTAATCCTAAAGCTGACATTTTTATTGTTAGGTATTGAGGCGTAGTTGATTTTATATTTCATTAATTCTTGTTTGTAACTAGCAATCGCAAAGCTGACATTTTTATTGTTTGGGATTGATGCGTAGTTGGTTTATTTCATTAAATTCTTGTTTGTAACTAGTAATCCCAAAAGACATTTTTATTATTTGGGTTGAGGCCCAAGTGATTTTATCATTAATTCTTATTTGTAACTAGTAGTTCCAACACTGTCATATTGTCGTTTGGGATTAAGGCGTAGTTGATTTATATCTCAGATATTCTTGTTTGTAACTAGTAGTTGTTTGAAAGCTGACATTTTTATTTTTATTTTTCATTAGAATTTCCCTATAGTGCAATCTCTAAGGGACAAAGAGGAGAAAAAGGAGAAGAAGAAGAAGGCAGATCCTTCGAAGAAAAGGCCAGCAGCGCCGTACGTATTGTGGTGCAAAGATCAATGGAATGAGGTATTGCTACAATCTTAGTTCAAATGTTCATTGCATTTTGTACTTTTTTAATATACTGGTTTTTTTTTATAGTGGGAATTTGTTATTTCAGGTGAAAAAGGCTAACCCAAATGCTGAGTTCAAAGAGATATCAAATTTATTGGGGGCAAAGTGGAAAACAATAAGTGCAGAAGAAAAGAAGCCTTATGAGGAAAAATACCAAGCTGAAAAGGAAGCTTACTTGAAAATTGTCGGGAAGGAGAAGCGCGAATTAGAAGCTATGAGGCTCTTAGATGAAGAGCAGAAACAGAAAACAGCTATGGAATTGCTTGAACAATATATTCAATTCCAACAAGGAGCAATTGAAAATGAAAACAAGAAGAAAAAGTAACATTCCCTTTCTGTGTCCTACTTGTTTTTGTGCCTATGAACTTTAAATCTTATATTCGCCTCGTTATTCATCTTTATAGGAAAGAAAAAGACCCCTTGAAACCAAAACAGCCATTATCAGCATTTTTCCTGTTTACAAATGAGCGTCGCGCTGCTCTACTTGCTGAGAACAAGAATGTAAAGGAGGTAAATGATGAGTTTCGTTGTTTGCACGACTGCTCTACTTGCTTGGGGTTGAGGCTTAGTTGTTGTCGTTACTATTTATAGGGCTTATTAAATTCCTTAACTTAGTATTTCTCAATTTATAGGTGGCAAAAATTACAGGTGAAGAGTGGAAGAACATGACAGAGAAACAAAAAGCACCTTATGAAGGGGTATTTTACTTTGTTTTAGAAATTGAATCCCTTTGTTTCACTCAAATATTTCGATTTTTATTGGAAACAATCTCTCTGCCCTTCCAGGCCAGGGGTAAGGCTGCGTACATGCTATCCTTCCCAGACCGCACTTGTGGGAATACACTGATTGTTGTTGTTGTTGTTGTTGTTGTTATCCTTGTTGTCAGAAGCTAAATAAATTCTTTCAAATATGCAGATGGCAATGAAGAGAAAGGAGAAATATTTGCAAGAAATGGAAGTTTATAAGAAGAAAAAAGACGAAGAAGCTGCTGCACATTCGAAGGAAGAGGAGGAACTGATGAAACTTAAGAAACAAGAAGCACTTCAATTGCTCAAAAAGAAAGAAAAGACAGAAAATTTAATCAAGGTTCTTATTATATATTGTTGCTCTAGCCATTCTTGATCCAATTTCTGATTAGGCTATGAAACTCGAATTAGCTTATTGATTTGGTTTGTTGTTGTGGTGATTAGCAGAAAACGAAAGAAAATCGCCAAAAGAAGAAACAAAAGGAAGACAATGTTGTGGATCCTAACAAACCAAAGAAGCCTGCTGGATCATTCTTTCTCTTCAGCAAAGAGGAAAGGAAGAAACTAGTCGAAGAGCGCCCTGGAATCAATAATTCTACTATTACTGCTCTCATTTCTCTAAAATGGAAGGTAAATAAAGAGTTTAAGTTCCGTGCAATGTATAGATTTCTACGCTATTAGATTAACTTGACCAATAGCAACGTGAAAATGGCCCCCTCTTTAGTGGGATTACATGAGCAAATGCCTGAACCAAAATATGTTATTGCTATGGGAGCCTGTACTATTACAGGCGGGATGTTCAGTTGCGATTCTTATAGTACTGTTCGGGGAGTCGATAAGCTAATTCCCACTCGTAGTTGTCTGAGTCGTTGCGTTAGGGCAATACAACTACGAGAATCAGTCGTCCTAACATTACTGTACTCTTCATAGCAAGTCTGATATGGTAACCTGAAGAATAGAATTGATAACCTTCCTATTATAACCAATTAAATTGAACTGACATTGTATATAACTTGTTTCAGTACAAAGTTTACATATTTTTCTTTAGTGTGTGTTGATGTAGAGCTATTGTTGTGATGTGTAGGAATTGAGTGAAGAAGAAAAACAAGTGTGGAACAACAAAGCAGCTGAAGCATACAAAAAGGAAATGGAAGAGTACAACAAATCTGTAGCAGAAAAGCAGAACAACAATTAGAAATAGTAGAAATAACTATAATATGTTCAACTGATTATGTTGAACATAGAATGATTGCTAGTTAGTTGAAGTAGTAAATAGGTATCATTCCAATTTCCTTTGTTGTTTAGTAGCAGTTAAATCTTTGCTAATGTCCTTTTCACATGTGACTTCTAATGGAAGACATTCACACAACTTTTTCAAGTGTCTGAGCACTACATAGAAGACATTGAATATTCACACTTTTTCAAGTATTCCCCTTCGCAAAAAAATTACACATAATTTATTTTATATATATATATATATAATGTTTTGAATCTCCTTGACATTCTTGGGTTAAAACCGGTTCAAAAATATTCTTAACGCAATGAGATATTATCCGCTTGGGAATTCCCCAAAAGGACTAAGCCAGGCCCCCACACCACCTGCCAAATAGATACAAAGATACTCTTCATAGCCTGTTCGGCCATGAAATTTTCAGTTTTCTATTTGTTCAGCCAAATAGAAGTTTTCACTTTCAAAAATTCAAAAAAAAAAACAAAATTATATTCATGTCCAAACACAACTCTAATTT